ATATTTAGTCTTTCCATGTTGATTTAAGTGCCCTTCTTTCAGTTGGATTGCATGATTGGCATGAAACATCTTAGGGTTATTGTTATAATTTCTCCTATTATCGAATCCCACAACTTTTTTACTTGTGATTATTTTGGAAACATTTTGACATGTTCCTTTTAACTACATTGCTGTTGATACTGTTGCAATTGACAATGAAACGCTCAGAGTTTGTATTGTAGGACGCTCTGGACGAGTTAAGCTTTGATGCAGGACAAATAAATGTATTTCCCACAAGCTATACTGTAGTGGCTTTAAAACTATACACCATCGTGCTGTAAGAATGTGGCATGTCTTTGTTCAAGTTTTAAAAGTACAGAGAAACAAGTGTTTAGAAAAAACACATTTGATTGCTGGTTGCCTTGTGCTAAAGAGCATCAATGCTAACAGAGCATGCTGCTGAAAATCCATTCACATCCATCAGGAAGAACTGTCTATTCTACGTAACAAACACAACAGGGTGTAACACTCCTTGACTAATAGGTAAAAGTTAATTCCAAGCTGAAAAGAAAAAACTCAACATGTCTCCACTATAAATCTTCAACTTACAGACTGTCCTAGGTCATTTATTATTCATTTCTTCCGTATTGCATTAAAATTTACAAGTATAAATCCACCTAATCTATCCGCTTTATCAAGGACAGGTAACAGTTTCACCTATACTATTTGGTTACATTTTTTATGATTTTGACAGACTTCAGAATGTTTCGACTGATGCTTAAAAATGTAACATAATGTGTACTGTGGTAAAAGAGCCATTGAGCACAGAACATCTTTCTGCCTGTGAAGATATTTATAGTTTATTCTTATCTGTGTTAGAACAGGAAAATAAAGAGGGAGTTTCAGAAATTAAACAGAGATCTGGAACACCGTCTCAAAAATAGATGTTTAATAAATTGAAGGTTGTGAAAACAGTGACAAATCACCCCGAACATTTTAAAATACAAGCCATTTGAAATTATTAGTTGTTATTAATACATCACTTAACTTCAAACATATTGTGATATTAAGAAATACTAAAAAATTCAATATAGTGTCTGTAATATTTACTATTTTAGTTTTTCAAAGAAATGTTTATATGTTAAGGGAAAACTCCAAACATGCCAAAGCCATTACACCAACGTGCCACTTAACAACTTAAGTTATAGCTGAAAAGGGCAGGCAAAATATTTTCAAGTAATCACAGGTGGATGAGTCGGGTTGATGAAGATGTTTACAAAGAAAGTGGACTACAGTAATACTTTGAGCTATATGGAAATAAATAAATCCTTAAATATTGTTATTAATTTCTTTAGATGTGCGATTCCTTATTATATATCCCCTATTAATCTAATTCTAAAAAGAATGCTTTTTTTACTGTGATAACGAGCACAGGTATTCATAGAAAAGGTTAAAACATTATAACTTTTTATAAAGTTTATAAACTTAATATAGTCAGAAGGAGCATGTAAAAACTTTTCCAAAATAACCACAGTAAGTAACTGAATGAAAGACTTTGATGCTTAAAATGTTTATGAAGAAAGTGGAATACTGTTGTGTATTCTTTATTTAATCTACCACTACCAGCCATATACAGTTTGATAATATATTTATATCCCTAAATTAATATAGTTTATGATGTTCAGAGACGTTATGCTCCTTTTATTTTTATGCCCAGCTACCAAAATTTCCCTTTAGTTTTAAAAAAACCACAAGTGCCACCTTTCATTCATTTTGGCCAACCAATCACCTACTGCGGTATTCCGCGCTATTCTGCAGATAATTTTATGCAGTACGGGGTTTTACCAAGCATTTTGAATGGCTGCATCTGTATATAATGTCTTAATCCTTTTCTTGGTCTTTCATTTTTTAAAAATAATTCTACAGTAGTGATAAACACAATAAAGAAACAATATCTGTTCTTTCTAGAATACTGAAAATTGATAAAGTGACATTTTTAATACTGCTATGTACTGTACACAGTAAACAGTCCAGAAAACAATCCTAGCATATTAATATTGTTACAAATGGGACATACAAAAATGAAGAAAAAATGATTGAGTGGATTAATAAATGAGTAAAATAAATAATAATGACCCCCAACTTGTATAGATTTCTGCCATGCAAATGACCGAGCAGTTGGTACAGATGCAGCCATTCAAAATGGGTGGGGTATTCCGCGGTATACCCCAGTGGGCGTGTCGCAGTATCACGCAGTATCACGGGGAAAATCGCGTCATTTGACGTCATGCCAGAAAGTATCTGGTACCACCTTGTAAAACTGCCAGGAGGAGCCAATAAAGCTTAACCTCTCATGTACAGCATTTGAGCTTTTAAATTTAAACTGTGTATTACAGCATGTTAATCATCAGTCATTAAAATGTTGGTATATTTTATGAAAGCAAGATTGCTCAGTTGGACAAAAGTACACAACCTA